CTGAATTTATTTATCAGATCTACTAGCTTTTGTTTATAGTCCCTACAGTTTTCTATATATAGTATCATGTCAGCATATACATCTTCCGTTCCAGTTTGGATACCTTCTATTTCTTGTCTGATTGTTGTGGCTAGGACTTCCAATACTATGTTGAATAGAAGAGGTGAGAGTGGGCATCCTTGTTCCAGATTTCATTGGGAAGGCTTTCAGCTTTTCACCTTTGAGTATTGTATTAGCTGTGGGTTTATCATAAATGGTTTTTATTACGTTGAGATATGTTCCGTCTAAACCCACTTTGGTAAGAGTTTTTATCATGAATGAATACTGAATTGTTTTAAACTTTTAATTTTGTACTGGAGTATAGCCAGTTAGCAATGTTGTGATGGTTTCAGGTAGATAGCAAAGGGACTCAGTCAAACATACACATGTATCCATTTTCTCCCAGAGTCCCGTCCTATCCAGGCTGCCACCTAACATCGAGCAGAGTCAAATGCTTTTTCCTGCATCACTGAGATGATCGTGTGGTTTTTGTCTCTTCTATTGTTAATGTGGTGTATTACTTTAATTTGTGTTGTTGTTGCACATAGGGGCTACTCTCTAGTTGGAGTGCATGGGTTCTCATTGTGGTGTCTTCTCTTGTTGCAGAGCATAGCCTCTAGAGCATTCAGGCTTCAGTAGTTGCAGCACATGGGCTTAGTTGCCCCACAGCATGTGAAATCATCCTGGACCAAGGATTGAACCTACATCCCCTGCATTGGCAGGTGGATTCTTAACCACTGGACCACCAGGGAAGTCCATGTAATATTCTTTTTCAGTGGTTTCTTTGTTTGGTTTATGTATTAGACTTCATAAAATGTCTTTGGGAGTATTCCCTCCTCTTCAGTCTTTTGGAAGAGTTTGAGAAGGGTTGGTATAAATTCTTTGTATGTTTGGTAGAATTTGTCTGTGAAGTCATCTAGTCCTGGCTTTTGTTTGTAGGTTTTCTTTTTTTATTACAGATTGTATTTCACTTCTAGTGATCAGTCTGTTCAAATTGTCTCTTTCTTCTTGATTCACTTTTGGAGGGCTGTATGTTTCTAGAATGGAGAAGGAAATGGCAACCCACTCCAGTATTCTTGCCTGGAAAATCCCATGGACAGAAGATCCTGGCGGGCTACAGTCTGTGGGGTTGCAAGAGTCGGACTTGGCTGAGCAACAAAACCACCACCACCACCATGTTTCTAGAACATTGTCCATTTTTTCTAGGTTGTCAAATTTGTTGGCATATAATTGTTCATAATACTATTTTGTAATTTTTTTGTATTTCAATGATATCAGTTGAGATTTCTCCTTTTTCGTTTCTTATTTTGTGTCTTTCCTCTTTTCTTGATGAGCCTGACTAGAGGTTTGTCAGCTTAGTTTACACTTTCAAAAACCAACTGTTGCCTTTATTGCTTTTTAACCTCTATTTATTTCCTCTCTGATCTTTATTATTTACTTCCATCTGCTGACTAGGTTTTGTTTGTTCTTCTTTTTCTAGTTCTTTTAAGTGGTAGGTTAAGTTGTTATTTGATGTTTCTCTTGTTTTTGGAGGAAGGCCTGTATCACTTTGAACTTCCCTCTAAGAGCTGGCAGTATCTCAGTTTTGCTTTTGCTGTATCTCATAGATTTCATATGGTTGTGTTTTCATTGTTCATCTCAAGGTATTTTTTAATTTGTTTTTTTTACTTCCTCATTTATCCATTGGCTTTTTAGTAGCATGTTGTTTAGTCTCCATGTAATCTTTTTTCCCTACTCTTTTCCTGTGGTTCACTTCTAGTTTCATGCCTTTGTGGTCAGAAAAGATGATTAAAATAATTTCTTCACTCTTAAATTTGTTGAGGTTAGTTTTGTGTCCTAGTATGTGGACAGTCCTAGAGAATGTTCCATGTGCACTTGAAAAGAAGGTATATTCTGGGTTTTTTGGATGTAATGTCCTGAAAATATCAATTAAATCTAACTGTTGTGTATTTAGGATCTCTGTTGCCTTATGTATTTTCTCTCTAGAATATCTGTCCATTGATATGAATATGGCATTCAAACATCCTATTTTTGTATTCCCATCAGTTTCTCCCTTTATGCCTGCTAGTATTTGTTTTATGTGTTTGAGTGCTTCTACTATGTTAGGTGCATATACATTGATGAATGTAAAATCCTCTTCTTGTACTGATACTTTTTTCATTATATAATGTCTTTCTTTATCTTTCTCTGTGGCTTTTCATTTTAAAGTCTATTTTGTCTCATAGGAGTATTGCAACTTCCACTTATTTCTATTTGTATGTAACATCTTTTTCCATCTCATTTTCAATCTATATGTGTCCTTTACAGTAAGGTACATGTCTTGTAGACAACATATTGTTGGCTCTTATTCTTTATCCAGTCTGCCACTTTGTCTTTTGATTGGAGCATTCAGTTCATTGACACTTAAGGTAATTATTGATACATATGTATTTGTTGCCACTTTAAACCTTGTTTCCAATTGATTCTATGTTTCCTCCTTTTTCCTTTCTTTCTTTTTTTTTTTTTTTTGTGGTTTGATGATTTCCAGTTCTGTTTTTGGTTTTTGTGAATCTAGTGTATATTTTTGATTTGTGGTTGCCCTGTTTTTCAGGTATGTTAACCTTTTCTTATATCTGTTTGCTTTAGACTGATAGTCATATAGGCTCAAACACATTCTAAAAATAATCTACATTTTCTTACTCTCCTTGTTGAAACATTAAACATGTGCTAAAGATCTTATCTAATTTGTTAATTAATGAGGGAACCAGCAAAATGTTACTACCAGTTACAACCATTCAAAAGGGAAATTTCAAAAGCACCTCAGAAATGCTGTGTATTTCAGCATATCAGAAGTATATCAGCCATCAGAAATGCTGAATTCAATTGGCCAATATTTATAAGGCATCTTACAGTTGCTTCTCCTCAGGATACATTTTTTAAAGGATTTGCTTATTTGGCTGTGCTGGGTCTTCATTCCTGCCTGCGGGCTTTCTCTTGTTGCAGAGAGCAGGGCCTCTCTTCATTGCAGAGCACAGGTTACTCGTTGCGGTGGCTTCCCTTACTGTGAAGCATGGGCTCTAGAGTGCAGGTTCAGTAGTTGTGGTACATGGGCTTGGCTATTCCGCAGCATGGGAGATCCTCCTGGACCAAGGATTGTGCCCATGTTCCCCTGCATTGGCAGGTGGATTCTTAACTACTAGACCATCAAGGAAGCCCTCTAGAATACATTTTGCACCTCTATGGACAAGCATTATTTGCATTCCTCTTGATAGAACTGTGACTTAACAGAGTTATAAAGTAACTCAAAGACTATGGGAAACAATAATTAGGAAGAACGCAGTACACATGAACACATGAGTAATTTTATTCTCATTTCTACGGTTTTCACAATTTCTCCTGGCACAGGTATGTGTGATTGGAGGGAAGGGCTCCAAGAGGATTGGTTCTGTCTCTTGTTACCCATGATGGTCCCCAACATCCTGGTCTTTATTACTTCTTCCTCTGCCTCCTTGTTATGTCGGTGTATTTCAGGAGAATCAGAGGAAGTGTTGATATCCATGTAACCGTGGGCAAGTTGCTTCTTTGTGCTTCAGTTTCCTCATCTGTAAAATGATAACTTAGTACCTAGTGCACAGGGTGAATATGTGAATTCAGTAACTGAGTATGCCTCATTCTCCTTCAAAACACTTGCACTTCTTTGGACACGCTGAAACCCTAAGGTATGCTAGTGTGACACTGTGCCACAGAGGTATCCCAGCGAGGAATGAAATAAAAGAAGCATGAGCCTCGACCGGAGCTGATAGAGTAAGGAGGATGAAGGACAGCTGTGGACTGGTATATGCTTTAGCCGAGTCATTTTATGCTCTGGATTTTAGTTTCCTCATCTTGAGGGCAAAGACTTAGTACTGTAATTATCCATGACTCTGTATTAATCATTTGTGCATAGGAGTGACACAGCTTTACACATTTATCCACAACTTAACTTGGTCTGTTTTAACACTTTCCCATAAGTACTGAAATACATTTTAGAAATTCTGATAGGAATTATAAAGGTACATGGATGAACTTGAGTCCCCTGGCTTGCTCTAAAATGCCCTGGGAGCTCCATCTGCCATAGTCTGGTAACTAGAACATTCCAAGGCAGATTCTGAGGTGGGAGGTACCAGGATTACCTCAGGCCCAGGTCACTGTAGACTATATGAATCTTCCCTTCTTCCTCTATAAAGGCAAGAACGAGAAAGTTGGTTTTAAAAGAGACCAAAGAGTAAATCTACCAAGTTTCTCTCCAGGTGCCAATGGGCTCTGCCTTTGGTGACTCTGAGGTAACACAGGGCAATTGACATCAGTCCTCTCAGGGAGATTTGGCAGCTTCCTTTCTGCCTGAACACTTTGTAGGCAGGCCCATACCCACCTGTCCTTTCAGAGTTTTGGCAGCATGTGTCAGCTCCAGGGAGCATTGTGATCTTAGCCTCCTTTAGCTTCACAGAATCTTCTGAAAGGCCATTTAGCTGTTTCAGTGTCTCCTGAGACTTTGTAGCCCTCCACACATCCTGTCAGGCCTCGCAAGCCTTCTTGTACCCAAGGAAGACTCCTGAGCCCTCACAAAATCCCCTAGAGTCTGGGAAGGATAGTGAGGTGGGTCACCAAGGATCGAAAGACAGGCCAGGCCACCAGCAGAACAATGATCGCTTGGCTGAGATAAGGCTGCACCAGGGAATTTCTTTCCAGGCTGCCTTCAAAGGAAATATCTTATCCCAGGGGTATGAAGCATTACCTTCTCCCACAGTTGAGTTCAAACAAATGTATTTAACTATACACTTAGGTGGATTTTATGGTATGTAAATTATACCTAATGGAATTTACCTGCTTCAAAGGTCTTATGAATAGAGAAATAGAGCTAGGATCCCACACTGCTAAGTCTGGGAGCTGCTCCTGCCCTGCCACCCACCCACCCTCTGTTTCTGGGAAATGACAGAGCAGGAATGAGAGGGGGAGAGATCTGGGAAGATCCCCACCAAAAGACTGTGGGCTTCAGGTTGGATGCGTGAGACAAGTGCTCGGACCTGGTGCACTGGGAAGACCCAGAGGGATCGGATGGAGAGGGAGGTGGGAGGGGGGATCAGGATGGGGAACACATGTAAATCCATGGCTGATTCATGTCAATGTATGACAAAACCCACTACAATATTGTAAAGTGATTAGCCTCCAACTAATAAAAAAAAAAATTAAAAAAAGACTGTGGGCTTTGAGGTGATTTTTATTTTCAGCTTCTTTACGTTATCTGATATCAGGTCAATGAGCATATATTGTATTTCAGGAAAAGCACTAAAGCTGTTTTCTTTTTGAAAAAGAAAATGAAAGAAGCCAAAACCTTTGATTAAGAAGAGCTATACTGGGGGACTTCCCTGGAGGTACAGGGGTTAGGACTATACACCTTCAGTGCAAGTGGCACAGGCTCAGTCCCTGGTCAGGGAACTGAGATTCCACATGCTGTGCGACATAGGCAAATATATATATATATAATATATATATATCATATATACATATATATGAGCTGTACTGAGAGACTGGGATTTCTAAGTGGCATAGTAACAACATGCATCGTTATTTGAAGGCAAATTTATGAAATGTAAATGATGCTGTCTCTTCAATTTTCATTATAAAACTCAAGATACATATATCAGGCAAAAACCCCTCAAGATATGATAAAATCACCCAAGAATGCAGCAAGCCTTTTCAGCTTACTTGTTTCAAAAGGAAAACACTTTTTATGAAATCCCTGATGTTTGAAACAACTTTTAAATATACACCAATATTTAGTGTCTAGGGTTTCACATTTTGCACAATAATTTGAAAGACTAAAAGGGGAAATAGCATTTGTTTAATAAAACAGATCCCAAACCAATCAAATGAACAAAGAGAAAGATCCCTTTATTTCACTTAACCCCCCTGTGGAAGTTTTTACCTAAAAATCAAATCCTGCTCTCTGGTCTCTTACTCCCTGGTACTTTGTGGGAGCTGTTGGATTTTAAAAAGAAGTGAAGTAAAACAAGTTAGTTCAGCAGATAGTGTCCTCAAGCTTTCTCTCAGTCCCAAAGGGGAAAAGATGTGGTTCCAGTCTTCGGAGTTTGCTTTTCAGCATGTCAGAAGTGAACTGATTCATCTGGCCTGTAGGAAACAAAATTGAAAACTACCATGGCATCAACTTAAACTATAGCCATAAATAAAAACACAGATAACAAAAACCATTAAAAAAAACTCTTCTGAAAGAGCTTAATGGCCTACAGAAGTAGTGTCAGAGGAACATTTATGGAATCTATAATCTGTCAATGTATAAAAAATGAACAGTTTTGGCTTAATTCATGACTATCATTCTCTGTGAGCTTGTAGGGATCCCAAATATGTCCTTTCAAGCAGCTAACAAACTTATCCATGGAAACTGCATAGGAGATTTAAAATGGGGAGTTTAATGTATTGACAGGTGAAATTTAAGATCTGCCTTGGTTTTATTCCTATTATATAAGCCATCTTTGGAGGAGAATGCAGTTCCAAACCACATAGAGTCCTGAACCACTTAAACCTGCAGGTTTTGCACTGGTTCTACTTGGTGAATCACAAGGCAAGGGAAGCCATCATTGAGGACGAACCTGGGTCAGCTGAGACGTGACCAAGTGGTGAGAACCAAAAAGGAAGTATTCTGCTTGGTCCCCCTGGAAGTAGATTGGAGTGCGGTTAGGGTCTTTTCTCTCTAGTTCAGCTGATAAGCGTCAAGCTGCCTGAAAATGATTACTGAAGCATGAACCAGAAAAAATGAATCAATAAAGGGAACAAAATATGCCTGCATTTTCTCTGGCAATTAAAATTGGCTTTAGAGAAAACAAGAAGAGAAAATGAGAAGATCTAAGAAAACAAGATCTAAGAGATGGGGGGAGAGGAAAGAAATTAACATTTTGTGAAGAAAGGCAGATGGTGATTGATTAGAGAAATAACAGTTGACTTAAATTACCACAGGGCCTTATTAGGGCATGCAGGAGAATTTTCTAGCTGTTCTAAATTATTAGACACTAGAGAAAATTGTCCCTCTCTCGTCTTGAATGCTTTACTCCCTGAAACTTCCATTTGATTACTTTCTGGGTCCATCCACTCTGACAACTTAGGCTGAATGAAAGCTGACCCAGAGAAGTTCAAATCACATGCCCCACATTTTAGAATCTAATTCTACATTAAGAGATTGAGACTTTTCTCATATACAGATTTCTCCATATGATTTTTTAGATAATTTTATGTATTCATTTTTATTCTTGGCTGTGCCGGGTCTGTTGCTGTGCTGGCTTTTTCTCCAGTTGCTGTTAGCAGGGGCTACTCTCTAGTTGCAGTGCGCGGGCTTCTCGTTGAAGCAGCTCCTCTTGCTGCAGAGCTCTAGGACGCACGTGGGCTCGGTAGCTGTGGTATGTGTGCTCGGGAGTTGCAGCTCCTTCTAGAGCACAGGCTCAACAGTAGCGCACAGGCTTAGTTAGCACATGGCATGTGGGGTCTTCCCGGATCAGGGATCGAAACCGTGTCTCCTGCACTGGCAGGCAGATTCTTTACTACGGAGCCACCAAGAAAGCCTCTCCATATGATTTTGTTGGTAGTTTCAGCAATTTAATATTAGTCCGTTCAAAAAGAAAGTGTCCACTGTGTACTCTGCAATAAACTTGGCATGTGGGAAGACAGTGTGTGATATATTTGATATCTTTGGCCCAAAACTTTGTGGGGTAGAAGATTATGCCCAGGTGAATTCATCACAGAAAGATAGATGACAAACTGTCATAGTTCCAAACACTGTCTAGGATAGAAACTTCTTCAGGAGAATCAATTCAGTCCAGCACTAGAGCAGGAAGCAGAGAAGAACAGGCCAGATTTGTCTGAATTCTGCTAGTGGTCCCCTCAGTGGAGATTCAGCCAGAGCCAGTGGTGGAAAATCCGCAAGACTTGAAATATTGATGGTCTGTCCCCTGAGGCAGAGCCATGGAAAGAAGCTAACGTAGAGGGACTCACCTCAACGGAGAAAACACACTGCTCGGATCCCAGTGAGAGGAGAGGCTCAAGGCAGATGTGGAAAAGGCAGATACCTGATATTGGGCCAACCTACCTGCTAGAAAGAGCGCCTAGACCAACCCTGTAGAATGGGAAGGGAAGGGAAAGCCTGCTTGGTGGGTGAGGAGTGCCTCCCCTTGTGGGCACTGGAATATCCAGCACTGGGCCCTTGGGTACTGGATGGTGAGTGTGAGGGGGATGAAGATCAGAGGATACAGAGGAGTTTACCTGCCAGAACTGAACCTTTGGCTCCTTGGCACAGGAAACATGAGCAACCCAGTTCATGGAGTCAGAGGAAGAGCAGCAAGGATGGGTCTTCCCTGTGGTCCATGCCATCACATTGTAAAAAGCAATTCAGTTCAGTTGCTCAGTCGTGTCTGACTCTTTGCAACCCCATGAATCGCAGCACGCCAGGCCTCCCTGTCCATCACCAACTCCCAGAGTCTACTCAAACTCATGTCCGTCGAGTCGGTGATGCCATCCAGCCATCTCATCCTCTGTCGTCCCCTTCCTGCCCCCAATCCTTCCCAGCATCAGGGGGAGACTAAGAGTGATACTTCACCACCACAGAAAGGCTGTCATTCATTGTGAAGAAGATGGAGTAGCCAACTCTTCCTGGAGGAGACAAGAAAGGCTTTACAAAGGGTGAAAACTAAAGGACAAACAGAGATGGCAGAGTGGTGTCCTGTACAAAGGCATAAGTCATAACAGTACATGACATACTGGGGACAGAATGGGTGGTGCATAGCCACTCTCCTGCAGGAAATGTGGAGAGTTTGGGGCCAGCGTGGGAACATGTGTGGTTCTCACAACTAAGAAACTCCTGTCAGTAAAAGGGACCCGATGCAGATTTGTAAGCCAGGAAGTGACAGGTGTAAGTCTGTGTTCTCTGGTGACAATGAGGATGAGGCTCAGAAGGAGTAAGGATGAGGGTTAGAAGGCACCTGGAGTCTGGGTCAGAAATGAGGATAGCACTGCTTAACATATTGATATAAGGCTATAGAAGAAAGGATACATGCAGGTTTTTTTTTAAGCTGGCTTGACAGCATTTGGAAATCAGGGGATTTCCTTCATAAAAATTATTTGATGATCTCATCTTGAGAAAAGCTAAGAACCATACTAAAAATGTAATGTTTTAAAATTTCTGCCTTGAGTCAGTGAGACACACATAACTTTGTTTGGTCATCAGGACCTTGCCCACAAAATACTCAATTTGGTCTTTCTAAGCAAAATAAAACAGTCAATAATAGCCTTCTCTCCCGACTTCCCAACACCAACTCCCCTTTCCTGCACCACACTGTTCTTGAAAGGATCTTTGGAGTAAACAGCCAGTGAAAGGTAAGACTTCCTAACAATCTTGAGGGAGTAGAAATGATGAGGATCAGGTGCTATTTCAAACTGGGCCTTTAAGTCTTCCAGTTGGGTATTGTCTGGGACCCAATCTGAGCCCAGGTTCCCTCTGAAAGGACGAGAGTAGTGTCCTAGTGCCATCAAGCCAGGGCCCAAGGACAGTCACTGATGCTGAGCTGAGGGGAGAAACTGCAGAAGGAACAGCTATAGTCACTTCCCTCTTTGTCACTGGACCCCATCCATTATTCAGAGTTCATGCTCAGATTTTGACTCCGTGTCCCAGGAAAATAGAAGGGAAAGGAAGAAAATAAGCATAGCTATTAGTCAATAGAAATTGACTAGAGTTCAGACAAGAACTTCAGGCAAGGCTTTACTGGGGTCCCTGCTGCTGCAGTGGGGAGTGAAAACAAACAAGTTCCTTGGCTCGCTTGGTCCCTGAGCCGGGGGCAAGCTTGTTCCTTATGTGGGATGAGGGTAGGGATGTGTCCAGGGGTCAGGCTGGGGGTGGCTTAGGTGTTTTGCCCATCCCTTAGGTGGTGTTGTGTGCAGGGGGCATACGCAGTACCTTGTTTTTGTTCCAGACTCTTCAAAAGTGGCAGCTGGGTT